AAAAAAAAAAAAACTCTTACAACTCAATAATAATAAGACAACCCGATTTTTAAAAACTAGTCAGCGGGTTTTTAAGAGAAACTACTCCAAAGAAGATATCAAATGGCCATTGTTACTGTAAGTGCCCTCGAATCGATTCCAACTCATAATGACCCTGTATAGGGTTACCAAGGAATGCCTGGTGAGCTTGAACTGCCGACTTTGTGGTTCAAACCAACTTTGCAGTCCAGCACATTAACCCACAGCGGTACACCAAGAGTCCCAAATGGTCATTAAGCACATGAAAAATTGTATGACATTAATAGCCATTGCTATTGTTAAGTGCCTGTGGAGTCAGTTCCAACTCACAATGACCCTGCACAGGGAGCAACAGGTGGGTTTGAACCGCCAACCTTGTGTTTAACACTCCAGTGCTTATCCTACAGCGCCACACTCATTGCTGTTAAACACCACTGAGTCCGGTTCCAACTCAAAACATCCCAGTATAAGATTTCTGAGGAGCTGCTGGTAGGTTTGAACTGCCAACCTTATGATTCACAATCCAGTGCTGATCCTACAGTGTCACACCAGGAGTTCTATTGTTGTTGATAAGTGCCGGTGAGTGGGTTCCAACTCATAGAGACCCTGTACAGGATTTCCAAGGAGCAGGTAGTAAGCCGACGTTGCAGTTCAAACCAACATTACTATCTAGTGTTTATGCTATAGCGCCACAGTAGAGATCCCTCGAGCAGTGCTCTGAATTATGATTTCTAGCCTCCTAAATTGTGAGAGTGGTCTTGGTGTGGCGCTCTGGGCTAATGCACTGGACTGCAAAGTCGTTTGAACCGCAAGGTCAGTGGTTCAAGCTCATCAGCCGTTCCTTGGAAACCCTATACAGGGTAGCTATGGGTCAGAACCAACTCCACAGCACTTAACAACAAGAACAACAAACTGTGAGAAATAAATTTCTGTTTGTTAAACTCATATACTTGTGGTATTTCTGTCATAGCAACACTAGATAACTAAGACATTTGTTAAAGTACAGGTTCAGCAAGAAGAAGAAGATAGGATGGACTAACACGTGGCTACAACAATGAGTTCAAACATAGAGAAGGAGCAAGCAGTGTTTGAATCTGCTGTACACAGAAGCAATATAAGTTGGGGCTAATTTATTGGCATCAAACAACAATAAATATGAAAAATACCAACATTTTCACACTGTAGTCTTTTACTGTACAGGCATGTTCTTTGATACCACAAGATTCTTATTTTATCCGACTTGTTTTCACAGAGTTGGCTTTTGAGAGAAAAAAAAGGCACATCACATATAGTTTCAATAGGTAAACAAATCCCTGGGCAAACTCACAAATACAAAAAATGAAAATATTAAAAGCTTATTCATAATCAGAGGTAAATTACCTTTACATATGGTTTCAAATTTAAACTGTATATTAGATCTCACTAGAAAAGACCACACCAAGAAGCAATCAAATCTTCTGCTCTTTAGAATGCTCACATCTTTAGATTACTTCGTTTAATTCCAAGATTTCTAGTCCTATAATTCAATTTCTTTTAGAGTTTTTCCATAGGTAGCAGATAACAATAGTGTGCAACTGTATAATAATTCTGAGGTGTATTCTAATTTGTAACTTGTAAAAACTGTCAATGGAAGAGAATTCAAGATAGAGGTATCTGAAACTGAGAGACAGCTATCAGATTCAAAAATTGTTATCCTGAAAGTGAACTAAAAAGGAAAGAGGTCAACATATTAATATATTTGTGCAAATATATTTAAAAGTCTTATAAAAATATAAAATGTTGTTGTTGTTAAGTACCGTGGAGTCGGTTCCAACTCATAGTGACCATGCACAGGGCTTCTGAGGCTGTAAATCTTTACGGGAGCAGAACGCCTCATCTTTCTCCCGCGGAACAGCTGGCAGTTTCGAACTGCTGCCTTTGCGGTTTGCAGCCCGATTCGTAACCACTACGCTACCAGAGCTCCATATGTGTAAGTGTTAGTGTTCCTTTGAATATTAAATAAACACTAACTAAGCCTTTGGTGTGGTGCTGTGGGCTAATGCGTTAGACTGCAAAGTCGTTTAAACTGCAAGATCAGTGGTTCAAGCTCACCAGCTGCTCCTTGGAAACCCTATATAGGGTCGCGATAGATCAAAATCGACTCGATGACACTTTAACAAAAACAACAACTGAGACTTTATCATGGTTTAGGAACTAGGTCAAACACTAAAGATACAATGGTAAATAATATATAGTCCTCATTCTCATGAAACGTGCAACCAGATAAAAATTTTATAGTTAATAAGAAGAGTAAGAAAAAAAAACAAAAAAAAAACCACTAAGGTTAATATTTAAATAAATGAAAATTATTTCATTATTATCAATTACAATTTTCATGTTAATATATGTGGCTTTCTGCTCCCGTGAAGATTGACAGCCTCGGAAACCCTGTTACAGGGTTGCTATGAGTCTGAACCGATTCCACAGCACATAACAACAATATGAGTATTAATCCATTTTACAATTTCAAAAAATATAATAATAATCTCAGACCATAGTAATCTCAACAGTAAGGGTCAAAATGCAATAATAGACATCATGTTGTTGTTGTTGTTATGTGATGTCCAGTCAGTTTGATCCACAGCGACCCTGTATAGAGTTTCTGAGGAGTGGCTGGTGAGCTTGAACCGCGGACCTTGTAGTTCAACCCGACTTTGCATTCCAGTGTATTAACCCATAGTGCCACACCAGGACTCCAAAAGACATCATAGTAATAATTTAAAACTCATCAAATATTAACTTCTTTATCCCTTCAAACAATGTAGAATACCACTAGGAAAGAAGGTTTTTAAAATGCGTATTAGTTAGATTTCTAAATATCTAAGAATGTTTACTATAAAAAGGCAAATTAAATGAAAACAATTTTCTTTCATTTTTGTATATGTCTAATGGCATTCAAAGTAAGAAAATACCTATATAATAAATTCCATTTATGAACAAATAAAACCTTAATAAGAAATCAAAGGTTTTCTCACCTTTATTTCATTATGTTGTTGTTAAGTGCCATCGATTCGGTTCTGACCCATAGCGACCCTGCACAGGGTTTCCGAGGGTGTAAATCTTTACGGGAGTAGAAAGTTTCATCTTTCTCCCGCGGAATGGCTGGTAGTTTCGAACCACTGACCTTAAGGTTTGCAGCCCGATTCATAACCACTACACTACCAGAGTTATACATGAAATAATTGAATCCATTAAGTTATACTGATCCTAACTTAATTAATACTTTATCTATGCTGAGACCTATAATAACTCTCCTATGAAAACAACTATTTCTTTTGTTATTATTTTTTCTAATAATTTGATAAATAATATTTTCACTGATAATTAATATTCTGCAGTCCTGGTGGCATGAAAGTTAAGTACTCAACTGTTAACCAAGAAGCTGGTGGTATAAACCCATTGAGCAGTTAGTCTGCAGAAAGGCCTGGTTGATCAGCTTCTGTAAAGATGATAATGTTGTTTTTATGAGTCATTGAGCTAGTTTCAGCTTTTGTATAGAACTTTTCAACTACACAGAAATTGCTATGGGCCAGTTCTACTCAGCCACATGGAGTCCTTATGTGTGTCATTTGACTTGTTGGCACCCAACAACAATTAATATTTAGCAAAAGATAAAATAAGTCAAATGCAAGAGAAAATTCTCACTGAAATACTTCAGTGATTTTTCAGCTGAGAATCATTCACCCTTATAATACTGGATCTATTTTCAGACAATCATTCTTGAATTTCTACCTTTTTAAGTTTAATAATAAACAAGTAAAAAATCCATGGATTTAAATTGTCTATAAGTTCCAAATTCATAAACTGAGATACAGCTAAAAAGGAAAAAAAAAATCATAGAATTTTGGGTTTTATATTAAAACTTTTAAATAAATCCACTGCCACTGAGTCGATTACAACTCACAGAACACCAACTGTTACGGAGTAGAACTACTGTATTGGGTTCTCTTGGCTGCTTTGTTTACAAAAGTAGATTGCCAGGCATTTTGGATTGATTCAAACTGTCAACGTTTACATTAGGAGTTGAATACAAACTGTTTGCACCACCCAGACAACTTGTTTACAGTCAGTCCCCAAATTACAAACAACTATCCTTCCTAAGTCTGTCTTTACTTCAATTTTCAAGGTAAGTCAGTTCATATCAAATATCAGTTAGTCAAATGTTGTCTTAGTATATACTCTACTTTTCTATGCAAGCAAAAATGTTAAAGAAACACTTCCAGATACACAAAAATAAACTTAATATAATTGCAGTAATAATAATGCTTTTATTTGTGTTACAAAGTAACACCAATTTGTTACTGTGAACCACTGTATGTACCTTGCATTTTTAATTTAATAGGTTTTACAGGGATTGGTTCCTAACTAAAGCTGTACATTTGTAACCTGGGAACTGCCTGTATATTATTTAACATATAGTATCTAGAATAAGGAAGATTAAAATCTTAAAATGTATTAATCAAATTACTCCTAAAGTATTATGCTTAGTTCTAGATATCATGCAGAATTTTTAAAAAAAGTATTCACAAACTAAAGAAGGTCCCTAAATGACTTCAAGGGAAAATATGTCCCTTTGGAGTCAAATAATGAGACCAGGCAAAGATACTTAAAACATTTTACCTAACTAGAAAAAATTTAACAGAAGATTGGGAAGAAGTCAAGGAAAATAATACGCAGGCTGGTAAATTTAGATCCGTTTAAGAAGGACATTTTAAGAAAGAATTGTCCACTATTGAAACAAGAAAGCTAAGGAGTCTTTTGTTATAAGACATGCTCAAGCAGAGAAAATAGACCACTTGACAGAGATACTAAGTTTGGTTCCTTCTACAAATACTCGCTGAGTGACAACAAGGTATCAGGCAAGAAAGCTTTAACCTTGAGATAATAGGATTCAGTGACCTTAAAAATTATAAAATAGATGAAATTGTTGCTTTTCAGTTTACCTTTTTTTCTTCCTGAAATACTATTGCATCATAAAGTCGTGGGAGACTTGGACAGTAATTTTGTTGTTGCTCTTTCTTGATGTTAATATTTTCATAGTGTAGTGTCTTTTCCCTTTAGAAAATTCAGAGAGAAATGTAGCAGTACTCAATTTCAAATATAAAAAATGTTTATATATAAACAAAGAGAATCTTTTATAACAACATTTCACAATTTTACAAAATAGTATGCAATAATATCATATAGGTGTGCTAGATCAGTGTCCTCTAATTAAATACATAT